CAGTAAAGTTATTTGCTTTTTTTTTTTTGTTTTTTGTTTTTTGTAGTATAATTAGTAATGTTCCACTTATGAATTATTAATGAATGATTATAATAGAATTTTGATCATAAGTTACATCAAACGTTTGTTTATATTATTTCAACATCAAAACAATGAAGCCGGATGTGTATCAAGAGGTGCCGGATGCAGTTGCTGAATTGTTGGCTGAATTCGAGGATGTGATGCCTCCTGAATTACCGAGAGAGTTGCCGCCTCGGCGAGCCATTGACCATAAGATCGAGTTGGAACCGGGGGCCAGGCCGCCAGCACAAGCACCGTATTGGATGGGTCCTTCGGAGTTGGCTGAGCTCAGAAGGCAATTGGATGATTTGCTGAGTGCAGGTCTTGTGCAACCTTCCAAAGCTCCTTATAGGTCGCCGGTTCTGTTCCAGAAGAAGCAGGACGGTTTAATGAGGATGTGTGTAGACTATCGGGCATTGAATAAGGTTACTATAAAAAATAAGTATCCTATTCCTAATGCGCTGGATCTTTTCGACAAGTTGGCAAGGGCACGGTTTTACACAAAGATTGATCTTCGGGCTGGATATTGGCAAGTTCGGGTGGCACAAGGTGATGAGGCAAAGACAACTTGTGTGACGAGGTACGGATCGTACGAGTTCTTGGTTATGCCTTTCGGCTTAACCAATGCCCCCGCAACTTTTTGCAACCTCATGAACGATGTGTTGTACGAGTTTCTTGATCGTTTTGTGGTGGTATATCTTGATGATATCGTGGTTTATTCTGAATTTTTTAGCGAGCATGTTGGGCATATGCGGGCTGTATTCTTGAAGTTGAGGGAGTACAAGTTGTATGCAAAGAAGGAGAAGTGTGATTTCTGCCGGGAAGAAATCTCGTTCCTTGACCACATTATTAGCCAAGGAAAGATCAAGATGGATATGAAGAAGGTACGGGCTGTGACTGATTGGCCCGCTCCTTCGAAAGTGGCCGAGTTCCGTTCGTTTTTGGGTTTGGCAAACTACTATCGAAGGTTTATCAAAGGGTATTCAGAGATCGTGAATCCTTTGACCGATCTTTTGAAGAAGGATCAAAAGTGGGAATGGACTTCGGATTGTGATGGTTCATTTGAGAAATTGAAGGGTGCTATATCTTCGGAACCAGTACTGAAGTTGCCTGAGTTCGACAAGCCATTTGAGTTGCAAACGGATGCTTCTGACCGTGCTATCGGGGGTGTGTTGGTGCAAGACAAGCATCCCGTTGCCTTTGAAAGTAGAAAGCTGAAAGATGCTGAGATGCGGTACAGTACTCATGAGAAGGAAATGACGGCAGTGGTGCATTGTTTGGATGCTTGGAAGCATTACTTGTTGGGTACGAGGTTTGTGGTTGTCACCGACAATGTGGCAAACACATACTTCAAGACTCAAAAGAAATTGTCGCCGAAACAAGCAAGATGGCAAGAATTCTTGGGTGAATTCGATTTCGAGTGGGTACATCGACCGGGAAAGCATAACGACGTGGCTGATGCACTGAGTAGGAAAGTCGTTGAATCCTACGTTACTGCATTGACTCGTGTGGAGTCTGATTTTCTTGAACGGGTTCGAGAGGTAGCCAAGACTGATTTGGTCTACCAAAAGATGGCTGAGCAAGTACGGGCTGGGCAGATTCGGAAATATTGGCTAGATGATGGGCTGTTGTTCGCTAAGGGTGGTCGTGCTTATGTGCCAAGCAGCTCCCTTAGGCCTGAACTATTGCGGGAAACACATGATCCGACGTGGGCCGGTCATCCCGGGATTGACAGAATGTTGGCCCTTCTAGCACGATCGTACTATTGGACAAAGATGGAGTTTGACGTTGAGGCATACGTCAAGACTTGTCTAGTTTGTCAACTAGAGAAGACCGAGAAGAAGAAAGAGGCCGGTCTATTGCAGCCTCTGCCCATTCCGGAGAGGCCTTGGCAATCGGTTTCGATGGACTTTGTGTCGGGATTTCCGAAAGTGAACGGTAACGCTTTTATCTTTGTGATCGTTGACCGTTTCTCAAAGTATGGGATTTTAATTGCTGCACCAATGGCTTGTCCGGCTGAAGTAGCTGCACCAATGGATTTTTATTTCGGTTTACGGGCCGTTTCTGGACCGCGCTATTCAACATGTTGGGGACTGAGTTGAAGTTTTCTACGGCAAATCACCCCCAAACGGATGGATAGACGGAGTGAATGAATGTCGTGTTGGAAGATTATCTTCGGCATTATGTTAGCGCGAGCCAGAAGGATTGGGTCGGTTTGCTTGATACAGCCCAATTCTGCTACAATCTTCACAAGTCTTCAGCTACGGGGATGAGCCCGTTTGAGTTGGTGTACGGGCAGCAACCAATGGTGCCGCATGAAGTGGCATTGCAGCGAACCGGAGGGAAGTGTCCTGCTGCCTATCGCTTTGCTCGTGCCAGACAAGAATTGCTAGACGAGGCAAATGATAGCTTGATGAAAGCACAAGCGAGGATGAAAAAGTATGCTGATGCTCATCGAAGAGACGTGGAATTTCAAGTTGGTGATCAAGTGTTGCTGAAATTAACGCCTCAAATTTGGAAGAAGATTAGTTCCAAATCAGTGCACCGTGTGTTGGTGCCAAAATACGACGGTCCTTTTGAAGTGGTGTCAAAAGTTGGTCGAGTTGCCTATCGTTTGAAGTTGCCGGACAGATTGAAAGTGCAACCGACGTTTTATGTGAGATTTTTGAAGAAGTTCAACCAAGATTTTCTCGATGAAAGTCGGAAGCAAACGAAGAGAGCCCCACCAGTGGTCTTAAAGGAATTTGAGAGAGAGATTCAGCAAATTCTGGACCACAAGACCCAAGGTCAAAGCAAGAAGAACCGGCGGACTGAATTTTTAATACATTGGAAAAATTCAGAGGTAGCCGATGCTACTTGGGAGAAGGCAGTGAATCTGTGGCAGTTTGAAGACGAGTTGGCGAAGTATTGGGAGAATATGAGTGGGTGAAAAGTTCGACGAGGGCGTCGAACACCGTTGGTGGGGGAGGTATGTTACCCCCTTAGACGGTGATATCGACTATAACTCGAGTGTGGCCGAGTTATAGTTGAAATGGTGCCAAGAAGTGTTGGCACAAGGCAAGCTACACATGGGCCAAACGGGGGCCGAGAGTTGGGCAAGTATTGAGGTGCTTGGCCGAGAAAGGCATGGCAAGTGTGGGCAAAGCAAGCGGGCTGAATAGCACGCGTGCGGGCGTATTCGATCCTTGGGCGCGCATGCACGTCGACTGGGCAAGCCGGGCAACTAATTGACTCGGGAAGTTACGAAAGGCAGTTGCGGAGCGGTTGGCATCAGCAATGACTAGAAAACTGTCCCTTTTATGTTGTATTAGTGAGCCAAGTGGTTGGCCTGCGTGTCGCCATGTGTCCCTTGGCAGTTTAGTGTGTAAACTGCATTGTAACTTGTATTTATGGGCCCTTGAGTGCACAAATCCGACCCATTCAGATAGAGGGACTCAGATTGCAATTGTTAGCATCTGTTGTGAGGATTCGTTGTGTGCACCAAGGGCTTTCCTTGTATTGTTCGTGAGTAAATCAATAAAGGTTGAGCATTGCTCGTAAATTGCTTGTGTTGTTCGATTTCCGCTTGATTTCCGCTGCATACTTGTGATTGTTGCTGTTTATTTGATACAACGATGGTGCCTTACGTTTGTGGGAAGAGTTGTTGAGTGGGCTGACTGATTTAGTGCGTAAATCAGGCCGTACGGTGGGAAAATTTCGATTATAAAGGGATTTGCTTTTCGCGGTTGCAAAATTGCTATTTGCGGATTATTATTAAAATATTCTATCTGTCTAGAAAAAGAAGCTTTTGAAGAGAATTTGCTTAAAAATCATTCTTGTTGGTGTGATATACGAACACAAATGAGCTCATCGGATGATGATCGTGATAGCGGATCTAACGAGGTAAAATTCCTCTTCTCGATCGAAAAAGACTCGAAAAATTGTCCAAACGCCCAACTTGGGCGTGTACAGCTTATTTGGGCGCCCGAGTTGGGCGTCCGGTTCAAATGCTGTCTTTTTTTTTGTTTTTTTGTTCGTGATATAAATTTTTTATGTTTTTTTCAGGACAATACGTCTAGAGTTGAAGTTGATCATACCAATTATTTTACAACAACTCAATTGTTTGACTCGGGGGACGAGTTAGTGGCTTGGGCTAGGTCCGTTGCAAGAGCTCTTTTCGTGAAATTAATTAAAAAAAGTGCCCCCAAAATAAAGAAAGTGTGTCTGACTTGTGACCTGTTCGGAGGGCCTCGAGAAAGTAACGTAGAGGCGTCCTAGAAAAGGCCTGGTAGCAAAAAAATAAAATGTGGTTTTCAAATCGTCGGAGAGCGGCGGTTGGACGATAGATGGGGGCTCAGAATAGTATATGGGAAGCATAATCATATTCCGATATACATGTCTGGGCATGGGCTTAGTGCATTGAATGAAACGGAGTCGAAGATTATCAAGGATCTTTCACAAAGTCATGTGCCGCCCAAGAAGATTTTGGCTAACTTGAGACAAAATGGCTTGGGTCTCGATGCTTATTCGAAACAAATATACAATGAAAAGGCAAAATTGAGAAGATTAGCTAGGGGTGACCGTACAGTGATGCAACATTTGATTGGGTTGCTTGAGGAGCATAACCATTACAAGTGGTTCCGTACAGATGAAACGACACATGCAGTTATTGATTTGATGTGGGCTCACCCTCTATCTGTCGAATTGTTAAGTAAGTTTCCGTACGTTATACTACTTGACAGTACTTACAAAACCAATCAGTACAAATTGCCTTTGTTGGAGATTGTTGGTGTTACTCCTGTCGGAAATTTTTTTACTGTTGGAGTGGTATTTATGCGCCATGAAAATGAAGAACATTATACATGGGTGTTGCAAAGGTTGAAGAGACTTTTCCCCCCACATACTCTACCTAGTGCACTCGTGACTGATCGCGAGTTAGGGCTCTTAAAGGCGATAGCGAATGTATTTCCGACTGTGCCTCATCTATTATGTCTTTGGCACATTAACATGAATGTGGGGCGTCGTGCTTCAAAGTGTTTTGGCAATAGTAGGCGTCAAGGATTTGCTTTTGTACTCGGTCCGTGGCAAACTTTGGTAACATCAGCGTGTGAAGAAGATTTCTACCGGAATTACAGAGTTTTAGTGGACGATTACGCGAATCATCCGCAGTTGATTGAGTACCTCCAAGACACTTGGTTGATATACAAAGAGAAATTTGTAAAAGCATGGACAAATCTAGTTTTTCATCTGGGCAATACATCGACAAGCAGGTATTTATTTATCAGTTGTTAAATACATATACTTAACTTACTGTCATGTTGTTTACTGAAACATAACCTACTTTAATCAGATTAGGGTGGAGAGCAACCATAGAGCATTGAAGAGATGGTTGGCTTCGTCCACAGGTGGCTTTGACACATTTTGGGCACAGTATCACACACAGATTGCAGATCAACTTAACGAGATTCTGGCCGAATTTGCGAAGTCAAAGTGGATTCGGGCCCAGACGATTAATGTGCCCGTATTTAAAATATTGTCCAGTGGAATTGTAACACATTCTGCACTGAAGATGTTGGACGATGAGAAGGATGAAGATATAGACAGTTGCGTCTGTTACATGAGGAAATGTCTTGGCCTCCCATGCAAACATGAAATTGACGCCAAGGTGAATGCACGATGTGGTGTGTTTTATGCTGAGGATGTCCACATTTTTTGGAGGACATGGGTTTCGGGATTCGGACATGGCCAAGAAGAAAGTGTTGGTTCTGTTCCCGATCACAGGTCACAGGCTATTGACAGGCTAGACGGGTTAATTGATGAGTTGCGTGAACGTTCAGAAATTGAGATCACGGACGTGACAGATGTCGTTTTTGAACGAATGCATCCTGGGGCAACGGAGATAAATGAGCCACCAGTACTGGACCGCCCAAGAGGTAGACCGCGGAACAACTCCACACAGAGGGATGACTCAGCGCATGAGTTGCCATTATACCCGGGCGAAGAAAATTCGAGACGAGGACGAGGACGATCAAGAGGCAACAAAGGCCGTGGTTCATCTTCTGAGAGATCTAGTTGTGGTCGTGGTCGTTCATCGACTATGAGTGGACCCGAAATGGGACGAATGCCCCGACCTAGTTGGATGCGAGAACTTCATTTTTGCCTCGTTCCGGAGATTGTGACCTGGACGGACGTTCAATGGGATGGTAATTGTGGTTATCGGAGTGTGGCGTGTGCAGTCAAGAACAGTGAGGATGATTGGATGGATGTTAGATTGGATGTGTATAACTGTATTAGAAGTCACGCGCCGTTCTTCAATGATTATTTCGGTGGTGGTAATTCAGTGTATCGGGTGTTGGCGAGTGTCGCCTATTGGGATAACGCCCTAGCACCTCTGCAAAAGTGGATGACGATCACGGACGTGGGCGTGGTTGTAGCAACATATTACAACGCGTTGGTCTTGTCGGCTAGTAGTTCGGGAAATCAGACTTATTTGCCACTTTGGGATCCCGAAGGTGTTTCACAGTTATCTTACCAGATGACTATACTATTTCTTGAAGCAGGAAGCCACTTTGTGTATCTGAAGCTGAATGACAACTGTCCGCTTCCTCCGTTTAACCTGCAGTGGGCGAGATACAGCAATTATACTGTTGCATATTTGCCAGAGGCATTGCAGGAGCGACGTGAAGCGTGGGATATTCTAACTAGTGTTTGATTTAGTAGTATTGTTGTTGTTGTTGTTGTTGTTGTTGTTGTTGTTGTT